TCCGGGCATACGCCGAGGTCCCATAATTCGATACGGACCCACCGGGACCGTTAAAATATGGATTCGGTCCCGTTTACTAAAAATAATGACCGAAGTCAACTAAAATCAACTTTTAAGGTATAAATTCTTATTTTCATCAATTTTTAACATAAAAGCTTTCCGGAAACCTGTCCGGACTGCGCACGCAAATCGAGGAGGGTAAAAATGAGATTTTTAAGGCTTAAGAGCGCAGATTCGAGTTCTAAAATATAAGATGACATTTTGGGTCATCACACCACCTCCGCTAGATGTACCATTAAACTTGCCCGCTATCCGGGATTTCTTGTTATGCTCTTTTTCTTCACTCCTTTGTTGTCTATCTTTTTCTAAGTGCTTGGCGAATTCCACCACAAAGGAGAAAGTTGCCATTCCTACCGCTGCAGTTGATGCCGTATCCTTAATGTGGTAAGCCAAACCGCCAACAAACCAGCGAATCTTTGCTTTTTCTGTCTTAACCATGTGAGGAGCATGCTTAGCCAACCTTATTAATTCCATGTAGTACTCTTGCACACTTTTATTCCCTTGCTTGAGTTTTTCAAACTCTGTAGCCTTAGCTTCCCTATCCTCTTCCGGGATAAAGTTAGCCATGAAGGCCTCTTCAAATTCTTCCAAAGTAGGCGGACCATCATCTTCATCTCTTTCATTTTCCCACATCTCAAACCAAGCGCGAGCCACATCTCTAAGTTGGTAAGCAGCCAGCTCCACAGCTTCATCATCAAATGCCTTCATCGCTCGGAGGGCTTTCTTGACACCCTCCAGCCACAACATTGGATCTTCATCATCTATAGAACCATGGAACAATGGAGGACTCAACTTTAAAAATTCATTCACTCTTGAGGACTCAGAATTGTTCTGTCTATTTGATTGAGGTGGAATCTCATCTCTTCTCTCATTCTGGTTGGCCATGAAGGCTTTAAACATCTCCATAGCACTATTAACAGCATTAAACATCTGACCCACATCTGGAGATATAGTTGTCTGAGCCAGAGCTGCTTTTGAGGGCGGCACTGGATCCTGAGGTACTGTATCATCATGCTCCACCCCTTCTTCATGTTCAACTCGGAGTACTTGAACCCCCTTTGTGGATTTACCCTTCCTTTTCTGAGTTGAAGCCTTCTTAGTTCTACCTTGAGCCACAATAGTAGCAATAGTTTCTTGAGCAGCATCCTAAGTGTCAGTGTCAGAGTTGCGAGTATGAGCCATTTCTGCGAGTTTTGGAGAAACAAATACATTAGATAATTTCTTAGAGGTAGGCTCTACTGCACGATCTAAAGTATGAAAAAAATGAGACTTTTCCTAAATATTAGTAGCCTCCTGTTTATAAGTATGGCGCGCTTCATACCCATAAACAAGACTCTACTAACATGACTTCATAGACCCCTAGGACTTCATAAACTTGAGGCTCTGATACCAAGTTTGTCACGACCTGTTTTCTGAACAAGCCGTGACCGGCACCCGATCACTAAACATGACCGAGCGAACCATCTGCACTTATCAAATCTATTATAAGTTCAAACTTTATATGCAACCAGGCAATACTTTAAACAAAATACCTTTAATTAATTTAAATATTTAAAATAAACTAACTCCAAAATTTTATTCGTAGTAACCACTGAAATACTGCTAAGTTATTATCAAAAACATCTGAATCTTAACCCAACGACTGTGTCCATGAAGCCTCTACTGATAAACTGACGCACTACTTAAGACATGAGATTGTCTGACTAGTTCTCCAAGTAAACAAATAAATAACTAAACTAAGATGACTCCAAGGAATACTCCACGAACAAAAGCGGAGCTCACCAATAGCATTGGGAGAGAGGGAAGTCCTAACCCATAGCCTGCTCGCCTACAAAATCGGTTCCTATGTTGTACCGCAGACCAACATAGGTTCCCAAAAGAGAACGACAGTACCATCCATTGTACTCAGTGAGTCTCAACGACAGGGGACGAAACTTTAATAAAATATACATTATGAGTAAAGATTCTAAATGCATGTAAAACATAAAGCTTATAAGAACAATTCTAAAATAATTGCATAATAGCAGTTTATGAATATTTTAAAAGAAATTCTTTTTTTTTCTTTCTTATAAGAAAAATACTTCACTTTATACTTCGGGAGTTCCAACTATCCTGACTTATTTCTGTCTTAGTCACCGTATGATTGGCACGGGTTCGATCCCAACCTGATCGAATAGGCCCAATCCACGAGGTGTCACTCGCTTTATGGTTCTCAGCGCTCATGTATCATACCTTAGCCTGGCTAAGTAAATTCTCAGCAACGAGACCCTCGGCTCGTATGTTCCCTACTTTGACACAAGTAGTTTCATGAAGTCAACGCCTTGGTCAGGACCCTCGACTTGGACGATGACCCCTTCTCAGAATAGAGGATACTCCCAAAAATCTTTTCTTTCTAAAATTTTTTCTTGTGACTTTTCAAGTCTAAATCTTTTCTAGAACATCCTATACATACTCATAGTAGTATCCTAAAATGTAAAGCATGACATAAGAATGAAATAAACATTCAAAAGTATTTCTAATGATTATTGCTTCTTCATGAATTTCCAACATGAAAATGGCATATAAGAATAACACAAAAATCTGAAAATTTATGCACATATAAATCTTCTAAACCTTAGCTAGGACAATTCTAAGTTGAAAGGTATTCACTCGCTCCAATTAAGTACATATTAACTCTTTTAAGCAACTCATCAAACACCTTGTATGTGTACTTTTGTGAGTTAAACCACTTTAGAAAAGGGTTATATCAACTCACCTCAAAACTCCTTGAGCCAATACGTAGGCCCCAGTCCAATTTATACTCGTCAAGCAATTGATTCTACAACAACCAGTGCATTTTAATTAATTTAAAATTTTCACACCTAAACATTGAACTTACTATTGATACAGAGGAAGAAGGGAATTAACCATTTAATTCCTACCTGCCACTACGGTAGGATAATTGACAAGAGGAAATTTTATATACCTGAATCCAAGAATTAGTGACTTGTAAAGAACCCTAGAATTTTTTGTGCGTGAGTAACTTTGCGGCTGCCTCCGTTTCGCATAAGGCTTTAAGCTTTTGTCTGCGTGAGAAAACAAAATGCTTTCTGTTTTGTTCAAGGCATTAAGCCCTTTGTTTTCCTTTCAATACCCGCTTTATGGGTTAGTCACGTGACTCCTTTTTTGTTTTATTGCCTTATCTTCTTCTTTTTTTGACTTAACTAGTATTTAATTAGGGCGAATTACATCCCTTATCATTTGGCCCAACAACCCATCAGAAAACGGCCCACGTTTGAAGTCCTTCCCCAGTGTAGCCCAGGTTGTACATAACCTGAAAATTACTTTTCACCAGTTAGCTCCCCTTTTTTCTTCGTTCTTCTTCTTCTTCCTGTGTCAGCCTTTGCACCACAAAATTCTCTGCTATTGTTATTCTACTTCAATTCTTTTCTGGATTCCAATGGTTAACTAAGGATTTGAAAAATAAGTCACCACTACAGGTGGTTCAAAGATTCGATTTCAGAAATTGAGTTTTCCAATTTGTTAGTTGTTTGGAATGGGTGTTGTCCCAATTGATTGAAATCATCAAGATGAGTTCAAAACTTAAATTTCAAGTGATTTGGAGTAGATTTAGGCTATATTTGAGTTAAATTTCAGAGGATGCCCAAGGAAGAAGAAGAACACGTGAAACTCCATTGATGGGATTCATTTGTATAATAATGTATAATATTGTATAAATAGTATATAATAGTGTATAAACACCTCTTATACACTACTGTATACAAGGTTGATACATTATTTATAGGTATTTGGTGAATTTTTCGCATTTTCTTCTTCTTCTTCTTCTTCTTCTTCTTCTCATTCTTCTTATACACCTATATACATAGTGTATCAAGAATATTTTCACTCTGTGATTATATATCTTTATACACTTTTATACAACTATATACATAATGTATCTCTTTGTATAAAAGTATATAAGCATCTCTGACGAAATTTTTGTACGATTTTCACTTGCAATTCTTGTATAAAACTAGTCCAAATCTCCAGCAAATAACTTTAAACTTTGTATACAACCTACTTAAACTATTTCTAATAAGTTCAAACAATACTCACTCCAAATTTTTCACAAAATCATAATCGAAATTTAACAAGATTAGCATTAAAGGAGATGAGATTTTAGGTTTCTCGCGTCTGTTTTTGCGATTTGTAGTTGTGATAGGTATGTATAAACCTGAAGATCTGAAACATCAAAAAAAAAAAATCGGAGAAGTATTGGTTATGGAAGAAGGCACGAATGAGTGTTGGCTGAGTGTCTCGATCAATGGTTACACTAAAAATGGGGAACTGATTTATGTTTTCGTTTTTGTTTGCATATGATTCTTTTTTGTTAATTAAATTAAATATTTATGGATGAAAAATGAGGAGAGAGCTACAATAGGGGTAGGTAGGTGACGGAAAAATAAATGAGGTGGTTATAATTAGAGGGAATGGAAAAAGAAAAGATCTTATTGATATTTGGCTACACATTTGCAAACTTGTAACTGGGCTAAAATAGTGCAAGGTCAACTTATGGAGTGCATTATTCTAAAATTTTGTCATTTAATTATACCCATTGTTAAAAATTATTAATATTCCCGTAATTGTATATCTAATTATTTATAAATAGAGAAGTAACTCAAAAGTAAATTACAAGGGTTTAAATTCGTAATAAAAGTATAATTTAAGATTAAAAAAAATTAAATTCTATATTTAGCGAGTGTTGAAACTTCTAAAGGAGTGTTACAAAATATACGAAGGGGTGCTCCCATTGCGAGATATTAATGGACTCATAAAACTATAGAAGAGGTGCTGCCAGAGAAGCTAAAGGGCCCCAGTGGAGGAGACAGAGACAACGAAGAAGGAATAGATTGCGTAACTAATTACAAATGGAAGTCTAACCTCCCACTGAAACAAAAACACATCACATGACAGTTGGGCTAAGTTCCTACCTCAACTTAACCAACAGCCTCTGTTTTTTTCTTTACTCATTTAACAAATGATTCTGTCGAACCAACCTTTTTGTGCTTATCCCCAGCTTCTCAACTTCTTTACTTCCAAGTAGTAGTAATATTAACTAACCGATCATACAGGCAAAACCCAACTAGCTAAACCCCACCTTGTTACTTATATCTCCCTTTCATTCTTTCTTTCTCTGAACTAATATCTAGAGAGTATAGAGTGTGTTAGAATTCGAGGATCAAGATACGCCCTTTTGGCTTTTGGGTGGAAGTTATAATTATGGTGGGCATTTTTTCTAGATTTTCTGTCAGCAGATCAGCTGGCCATCGTCGGACTCAAAGTGCACTTGTCAGCTTCCCTCTCTCTTTGTTTTTACGATTTAGATTTTTGATATACTGGAATTTGAGGTTGACTAATTCTTGGTTTCAGTCTCTAAATTGTGTCTAATTTAGACCTAAGGCCTACCTTTGGTCTTTGTTTTCCAATGAATTGAATGGTTAAACTCATTGTATTGGTTGTTAACTTGTTAAACTTATCAGTGGCCAAGTAATTAACCACTCAACAATGTTTCATAACTTGAAAACACAACAATAATGTTTTCTAGTTGTAAAGGAATGGATCCCAACTGAAAATCTCTCCATCACTCTGTAACAGCAAGCAATTTTCCTTTACGCAAAAAGTCAACTTAGACTTGTTTCCTAAGCGGAGATTTATATCTGGTTTAGATATAACAATTTGTGATCTAGTTTCAAATGCAGGATGAAAGGGAAGTGTTTCCCCCAAATTCAGAGGCAATAGATGCTGCTGCTACTACAGCTGGAGCTCCCTCTGTTACGCCTAATGGTATTGAAAATGCAGTCGAGTTCAAGCCAGTTGAACACCCAACTGAGCCGCTCAATATTGATCGACCAATTCAATGTCCATTTCCAGAACCTTCAATATTGAATGTAAGATCTCTACGTCTCCCTACGTCTCTGAAGTTTTTCTCTGCCCATATGTGAATATTTCTCTCGAGCATTACATATGATGACTCCATAGATAAGTACTTAGCTCCACTGTCTTGATTCTGTGCTTGAATGTGGTAATGGAAATGGAATATGATGGCTGCTAATAGCAACAAGATCATTATTAGCTCCTTCATCTTGTTACATTACACGTTAGAACTGCTGACTAGAAATTTGTATATTTCTTCACTCACAGGATGGAAGAATATGGAAAGAGCGAGTCCCTGCTGTGCGAATTAGAAAGCCTGATATTCCAGTTATGAAGGAAGGAAGAGCTGCCGACGCAGAGGCAGCTCGAACAATACCTAGACCTCCCATGAATCGGGTTATTCTTCCATCAATAAGTGCACCAGAACATAGTCTGCTTAAACTGCTGGAGGAATCTGGGATTTGTTGATGGATTGCTATACTAAAGAAAGTTGATACTCTCAGCTGGCCTCTTTCGACATATCCTTCTTGCTTTAAATGCTCGGTATAGCGTATTCCACAGGGAAATTCAAACACAGTTGCATGTAGATATTTATAATAATACTAATGGAAATCTTTTGTGCAATCTACAGTACTATATTTTAGGTTAGCTTTGTATCTTTTATATCAGTATCGATTGATTCTATGCATGTTCTATTACACTGACACTGATGTAAGGGAGAGTAAGAATGTTACAAGAAGATGACAAAATGTGGATAGTTCTTCTTGGAGAAACAGGATTCGAGCCACCCCTTTGACTCAGACCTAATAGAAACGCTCCAGAGGTAATATTACAAGACTCTCCACATAACTAAGCACAACATTTATACAGTTAAAACCAGTGTGGATGAGATGAATGTATGGTCCGGATACTAATTCTTGGAGATTTTATTATCTGAAGTCTTCATCACTTGACATTTCCTCAGTACAAAATTATGACGGACTAGGTATGAGCTGTACAATAATAAGTTGATATTCAAAGCACAACTAGAACTAAGGAAATAAAAGGATTCTTCGTTCATTGATAAGCATGATACATACTACCAAAAGATAAACAAATAAAAAGTACCAACTTTCATCAACCTCAAAAAAGCTTAGCAGTGACTCTGGGATAAGAAGAGCTAACAATCATTTAAAATGTGTTGGTTATCAAGCAAGAATCACATTCACTACATTCTCACCGCGAATTTTCAGCCTTCCATTTAATTGTGCCCAGGAAATAACCACATTTATGTGAAAATCCTCTCTAGGACCGGAAAAACCATGGTCGTGGTTGAAGGAAGTAGGTGGTTTATTCCCACTTATTTCATCCCAAAAAAAAGAAAAAGATAGCAGGTGGTTCTCCATGTCTTTGCAAACATAGAACTGCCGTTTTTTCCTTCCACCCCACAACAAGCATACAGCATGGATGATAGGAAATGAGACAAACCAGGTGTTTTTTATGCGATCAATTTTTATAGACATAGAATTGATAGTTTTACCGCCACCCAACGAACCTCCCTATCTCACCTCTCTTAGCCTTTATAATGTGAGGAAAGGGTACAACAAACAAGAATGTAGAAAGAAATGAAGGAGATAAATCTGATAAACAGTGACCAACTCCTTCACATTCTAGGAGGAGTCTATCAAGGAGTCAAATTACTTTGTCAACATCAAGATTCAGCTGATCGGAAACTCCCCTAAAAGCCCACTATATTTTACCTAGTAGTATTAAATATCTTAACAAGCAGGGATGTTGTTCTTCAAGAAAACATAATTTATGCTGAAATATAGGAATAAATTTGGACAGCTGAGCTTGCAGCTAATTTGTTAGGGTTGGTCAATAAAGTGATGCACGAAGCGAAATAGCAAGATACAAGCTTGCAACTCTCCGCTGGGGTTGGTCAATAGAAAGAAGCATGAAGTGAAGGAGCAAGATATATGCTTTCTTTAACTTTGTTATTGTCCCACGTAATTAGATTTTTGGACACCAAGATACATAGATATAACTCACAAGGATACTAAACAAATAAAACCACTAAAAGTATAAAAGTAAGGAGAAAGATCATATTACAAATTAGTCATGTAAAAGTATACACTTAGACAAAGCATCTTTTTCGTGCTACTACATAGAATATATAACTACCATTCTGGCAGTGACTACAAAAAAAAGGCCTCAACAGAAAAAATAAGGTACTCACTTTGAAGTGTAACACCATTTACGACGACAGCAGTGTACTCAGCTGGAACCAAAATTAGCTCAGCATTTAGAACATTTGATGGCACTGTTACCATTACAAGCTTGACTAATTCTTTGTGAAAGTCGAGCCGGCTTCTTGGAGTAGCAAGAATTCCACTCCCCACCATCCTGGGCATAATAATCCATCGGATAATCAACGAGTACCCCTTCCTTAACTTTCTCACCTCCATTATCACAAGCACCAGAAGATTCATTCTTTGAACACTTCAAAGCTTCATCGCAACATACATCTGAATTCACTACTTTCTTTCTTTCCCACCACCCGGACAAATCACCCAACGCAATCTCGGCCTCAAATGGCGTAAGCAAAGGCTTAGTAAACGCATCTCCCCAATCAATCGACAACCTAGGGCACGCGATCTGAATCCAAGCATCTACTGCATCCTCAAACAACGCAATCCTTGTAGGAGATATCTCTGACATCAACACAACTGTCCAAGTCATCCCCTTCTCTGCCATCTTCTTCTCCAACCTATCTAATATCCTCGGATTCCCTTGCCTACCTAATGTCCCAAGCACTATCCCCCAATTCTTAGCCTCCCTCCTTGCCTTCTCAATCGCTCTCTTTCTCTCCTCCTTCATTCCCTTATGATCATACTCCTCCAAAAACAACTTCCCTACATACGGATCATACCTATACGTCTTTATCCCCGGATTCGCTATCATAAATGCCTCCAAATGAAACCTACCATCAGCAACAAACACCAAAACCACACTCTCAGAATCAGAAAACTTGTTCATAACACTCGGGGCAGTACAGCCGAGTACTTCCCCAGCTGATAAGGGTTTAGCTTGAGGGATCAAAACCTTAAACCCTATTTTTTCCAACTCGGGCTTAACAGCACGAATTGCACCAGCAAATTGAATTGTTCCAGCCACAATGATATTGTCATAAGTACTAGTATTGTTAAAATTGAGCTTGAGTTCATGTAACAACCTGTAGAGATCGATTGAGATTTCGACAAATATGTAAAGGCAAGGGATAGTGGTGGAATCAATAGGAACTAGGCAGCTATGGCCGAAATGGATGAGGAGATCAGCGGAAAGAGCTGCGGCGGAAAGGTCGTCGACGCAACACGCGCCGTAAGTCACGTCGCCGAGGATGAAACAGTGAGCGGCGGAAGTGAAAGTGGAGAGTATATCGGAGATGATGAGGGAGTACATGAGGAGACCCTCGGGGAACTGGAGGGCGACGCGCTTGGCACCCGAAGTGCGAACGCGCCATACGCACTTGTGGATTTCAAAGTTGTAGTTTTGAGGTAGAAGAGATATGGCGGCGTTGAGTGCCGCATCGTTTAGAATGGAATCTGGTATTTGGTTCTTCACGAACCGCTTCGGACGTGGCCGAGTTGATTGCTGCAGTTGCTTATGCTCGCCTGTCTCCGCCGCGTCAACCACCGGAGTAGGCTGTACCGGGAGAGGGTCGCCGTGTTCCTTCTCCATTGTTTTGTTTGTTATAGCCACGGAGACTAATAATACCGACGCTTATAAATAGGGAAGCTTCTGTATATTAATAGGTGAAGGAAATTGCACTCTCACCCCTAAAGTTCTAAAATTTAAAATTTATTCCTCGTCCAGATACAATCTTATTAATGCTGGCTTTCCAGTTTATTCAAATTGCTACATACCGTCTGAATACACAGTGGTATACAAAGAGAAACTTTTTATTAAGCTAAATATAAAATACTAAAGGCATTTTCAGATGGTGAAGAGGAAAGGAAGAAATAATTGTAAAGGAAAACTACATGCCGAGTTAGCAGAAATTGCAGGCCTTTTGATTCACCAGTTGAATGAAGCTAACCTTTTTATTCCACAAAACTTGAAAATAATCAAACAGAGTTCTGAAGTAAAAGGGACCTAATTCTAACAAGATCAAAGTTTTGGGTAAAAATACAACAGGCTCTTATTTGGTGCTTGCTTATTGATGAAATGTCATTCTGATCTTACAGTACAAAGCTCTAACATATCCTTTTTATGTTGTAAAATCTGATGTTGTAGTCATATAGCATGAGAAAACCATTGCATGTAATATCCTATACTCGTAGGTCATTACTGAAGTTGGATTGCAGAAACAGCTGCAGTGATTTCCTTTGCCCGAGGATCATTGTCTTCCAAAGACACACCACGAGGATCTTCTGTCACTAGCATAGCAAGAACATTGAGCGAACTCCAAGCTTTTGTGACATTTTTGCTTGAAGCCCCCAAAGTGACAGCAAAGACTGCATCAAATCCACCAGCACCAGGAACACCAGCCAACAGAACTCCCTCCATACTCATCGTTGTATCCAGAAGGTGAGTTTGTGATTCAGGTTCTATCTGTGAATTTGACACATGGTGAAAGACTGGTCAAAAACATGGGAGACTGAAGCAATTGCAGCTGTTTCCTAATTATATTAAGTCATATTCTTATGTTATTTTATGGTATGCAGTAGCATGCCAAGCCTTAACATGTAAGAGAACTATAGTATTTTTTTCATTTACTTCATTTTAACGCTCTCTTTTTACTTTCTTGACATTCAAATGAACCATAAGGAAATGGCCATCAGTACATCAAGCGAGGTAGCGTTTGAGGATAATTCTTCAGAAACAAAGCTTACAGACGAGTTAAGAGTGATGTCCCAATAAATTTTTATCTGACGTAATTCAAATCTATGTGAAGAATGAGAGAAAGATGAGAGAAGATACAAAAATTAAGTTACATGGAACTTACCGGAATTCCTGCAGCCTCTCCCATTTTACGCATATAATACCTGATTCCAAGCATGGCCTCTCGGGCTCCTAATAACTCTTTAACAATTTCTGCTTGACTTGGTTCATTTGCTCTTTCAGGCCACTGTTCATGGTGAAAACCAGAAGAAACTTAAAGTTTTCGAAGAAAATTTCACACACTGCGGAAGGAAACATAATCCAACCAAAACATAATGATACTTGATTTAAAGACACATATATTTGCACGGGAAGTACTTGGAATGCAACTTTGCAAAGTTTCTCTGACATTTTAGAAAGTGTAACTATGTCTAACTAAGAAAATGATCATTCAAACAGGCAAAAAAGAGAAGAATTGAATAACTTTTTAAGATAATTACTGCTTGCCTCTAAAACGCGATGGTATTAAGAATTTTTTCTTCTGCTCCTAGACAACATAACGGAAGCTTCTCTAAGCAGAGTGATACAATAAAAGTGCTAAGGGGGAAGAAGTTCCAGCTAACGGCTGCAACACACGATTTGGAGGACTCAAAGAAGGATGCTTGAGGAGGAGGATTTTGACTCTGAACAGAAAGAGTGCCTAAGGATTAACTGGATTAAAGTTCAGAGGAAGGGGGTCCATGGCCTCGGAAAGACTTGCCAATCTATTATATTGGAACTAGAAAGTCATCCTTTGCTCCTTATTGATATGACTCAAGGAACAAATACAGTTAAAAATTAAAAGTTGATCGGGAAGTACTGAAAAGAGTTTAGGAATCTTTTGGAATTTGTTTTTGATAAAAATAGTAAAGGATAAAACTCTTCATTTGGCTATGACAGGATAGAAGAAAAAAAGGGCAGGAAGAGGGAAGCCATGTACATAAAAGGTTGGTAGCACTATATCATGAAAATAAAAGGAATTGAAAGAATGAAAAGAAAACCAGAACAGGGAGAAGAAATCCCTTATTCGACATGTCTTTAGCTTGCATTTGCAGTATGTTTGTGTCAGCTTTTAGGTAATGCATTTTTCAGCTATTAAGGCAGTAATAATTTTTCTGTGGTTTATTAGTGAGTATGACTTATCAAGAAGATAGCGAACCCCAATTTGCTTGGGATTGAGGCGCAGTCGATTATCAAGAAAGTGAAGGTAGTCATTGCTATAGTGAGGAATCAAATCCATAAAGTTGAATCAATTTTCAGCGCTTCAACACCCATGGATACTTAGCAAACTAAGCCTTTGCAGAACAGGTTAGCAGCTAAGCGCATCAAGGATAACTCTACCTGCCGTTAGGGATAAAATAAAGCGAAAATTATGGATAGTTAGCAAACATTTCTACATAATACTAGATCTTGAACTTCCTTTCCAGTTTTGACCAAAAGAGTTTTACCTTTTCTGCAGTAAGCAGGCTGCAGGCATTGATGACGCATTCATAAACATTATAGTTCCTTTCTGCCAACTTACATAAGGTATTAAGGTGCATTTCCAGGGCAGAGTTTCCTTCTGACAACTTTCTCCATGTTTCTAGAGAACTCTGAGGATCAGATTTCTGCCATCTCTTAACAGCACCAACCATTGATGGGGTAGAAGATCCTCCACTGCCTGGTTCTCCAAGTAACTGCAAGATGCTTAGCAATCAATTTCAGCAACTTAAAAGAAGAGACAACATGCACCACAGACAATTGACATAGTAATGATGAGTCAAATTCTGTGGCAGTAGAGTATAGTAGAGTGCCTCCAAAAAACAAGACAGAATCCATAATAGTAGGCTAGCATAAGGTCAAAATTTTTAGACAGGATACATCTTCAATCTTAATGTTTATACAGCCCCGGCAAATAATCCCATTAAAGTGGCTAGTAAAAGCATGATAAGTAGCATCAGTGACCTTCCAAGAAAGATAAAATAACCACCACAGTTGAAGAAACCACTTAATCCTAACGAAACAAAATTTGTGTTTAGCCCTAGGCACCAACAAAAAGTATCTATATTTGACAACATTAAGGAGTTGAAGTATGCAACTTGTTTGTTGTTCGAGCCTGATAACCAATCTTATGTCCTGTCAACAACGAGCATGGAGGTCAAAAAAGGATGAAAAGCTGTTCAATTAGAAGTAGTGGTACTTGAAATGTATGATTAGCAGGTAAAATCAGATTTCTTTTATCATCCAGTTTACTGGCAGAAGATAAGAAATTGCTCACAGTCAACCAGACAAATGTTCAAGAGAATATGAAATATCATTTATCAGACTCACTAGAGCCATCAATGGAGGCAATGAAAACTTGGTCCTCTCATGGTCCCACTTGGCTTTTAGGATATCATCAATGACTTCTGTTAGTGGTGTTGCCATACCTGCATTCTGCAAATCCAAAATAGTTAACAAGTCAAAACAGTTTGAAAACTAGATTCAATAAAAATAAGATGCAAAACCTGTAGTATTTCTCAACTCCATACACTATTATCTTTTCACTACTAAAGCTTTTCCTTTATGCTATTTTTCCTGTATGGTTAACCTACATCTACCCAATCCCCATCTTCCCTCCCCCGGAGTCAATAGTGGCCCTTCCCCACTTCGCTCTTTTGGTGACTCGAACTCCAATATTGAGGTCGGAGGTGGAGGGTCTTCCACTTGAGCTACCCCATCTTGTCAACTCTTCCTTCAAGTTAAAGCAAACTACTGATAGGAGAAGGCATCACATGTCCCATAAGCTTCGCCTGGCACGTAAGCTATCATTCCTTAATTACTGTGAAGGTATGAACAGTTCAAATAACAACTAACAACAGAAATCCTTGCTCCAGACCTTTGCATTTTTGCCACAGAATGAAATAAAAAATGTAATCTCTCACCTGAAATGACAAGCATCTCTGTTGGATCTGCTGACAAAGAAAATTGATCTACATGGATGACTTTAACCAAAGTGGTTTGGCAAATAGATAAAGAAAAAGGCTCGCTTATCATACAGCTGCCCCTCACCCCAACATTAACTTTAGACTAGATACCAAAATGGCTAACCTTTTAGGTACTTAGTAAGACCAAATCTGAGATTCCGTTACAGTTTTGGTTAGAGGTGGTTCTAGAAACTTACTAGAGAGTAGGTCATGTGAATTTCTGACTACTGGGCTTGATGTATGCAAATGACCAACATCTCGAACAGCGGATAATATCTTAATTTCAGCTCCCTTATAACCCCTTTTGTTCTTTTAATTCAAGAAAATAACCATAGATAATTACAATTCTGTGGGCATAAACAGAGCCTCAAGTGACCAAGCTAGTGTTTTGCCTTAGCACCAATGTCAATAGTCTAAAGCAAGTTTTCCCAGGTCTCTGAGTTAAAGGCTTAAAGGAATAGAGGAACCAAGGGGTTGTTCTCAAGTCAACTTAGTTCCACCAAAACTTTACTTTGCAAGGAAAGAACTATTGTCAGCTTATACTTTGGTACCACTTCCTCAAGACTTCATGCCTAGCCCTGCATTAGTTTTGCACCTTGCTGTCCTTATTTGTGCCATGACTAATCCGAACAGTGTCATTCTATCGAAGTTAACAATAAACAGAAGAATAGCATCTTGTGGTGCTAAAAACAGCACCTGAACTATGTAATTTATGTATATTTTTATATGAAGTTATCTCATTTTGTAAAGAGTATCAACTTTAATTATCACTTCTCAGTTCAATAAGGTATTTGAGTTCTGACATGGAATTACCGTGAACTTCAAAGAAGAAGAAGTCTTTGGCAGATTAAAATTTAAAAAATATATCAACCTAGGCCCCACTGTTTTCATTTTTCCGGTTGCCAACTTACACTCAAGC